GGGCCCTGATCTCAGCAGGAAGTTTGTTCCAATAGGACGGAGCTAAAAAAGAGAAAGCCTGGCCCTAGTTGCCATCAACCGGACTTCCTTTGGGCCAGGGAGGTCCAGGCGGTTTTGGGATCCTGATCGCAGTGCTCTCTGGGGAGCATGCAGGGAAAGGCGGTCCCTCAGAAAGAAGAGGAGGAGATTGGATTTGTACCCCATGGCCCTTCACTACCCAAAGGTGTCTCAGAGCGGCTTACAAACTCCTTTCCCTTCCCCTCCCCACAACAGACAGACACCCTGTGAGGCAGGTGGGGCTGAGAGCTCTGACAGAAACTGCTCTTTTTCAAGGACAGCTCTTATCAGAACTACGGCTTGCCTAAGGTCACCCCGCCAGGTGCAAGTGGAGGAGTGGGGAATCAAACCCGGTTCTCCCAGATTAGAGTCCGCCTGCACTTAACCACGACACCAAACTGGCTCTCAGGTAGGCCGGTCCCTGACTCTGACACCTATTCACTATGTATTCACTACCTTTTCATTATCATTTACTATGTGTACCAATGACATTTCTTTAACGCACATTTCAGCACATAGCTCTACAGGCAACAGGCAATTCCTCATGGCAGGTAACTGTTTGTTGTTTATTTTTTCATCTCCTTCCCTCCATAACTTACTTCTGAGGCTAGGCTCAGAACAGACATTACTGGGCACTTGGTTATCTTATCAAGTACAGCACAGGAATCTACTTGGGGCAGACACAATCTTAACACAACATCTTCCTAACTCAGGGGTGTTGAACTCATTTGTTATGAGGGCCAGATCTGACAATAAATGAGACCCTGTTGGGCTGGGCAATGTGTGTCATAAAATGTAATGCCAGGTAGTGGAGATATAAACTTTATAAAGGACACAAACACACAGGGTTTTTTTTTTACTTAAAATAAAAACATGCTTAAAACATCAGCACTCTTGCAATATTTTATTTATTTAACAGTGTCTGATAACTGACACCTCTTGCTCTGAATTATTGCCTCAAAATGTCTGTGCTGTTGCAATCTTGAGTATGCTGTTCAGGTGTGTGTCTGTAAGCTGCAAACCTACGATGACGCAGCAGCAGCAGAACTGGAAGAAGCAGTAGAAGACAGCCAGTTCCACTGCGGGCCTGATAGAAGCCCTCCGGGGGCCTGATTTGGCCCCGGGTCGCATGTTTGACACCCCTGTCCTAACTGATGTCAGCATTTATGACATTAGCAGAATTCAGGCAGAGTTCAGAAATTCGGGACATACAAAGATTTTAAGTTTTCAGACACACAAAACGACGTTGCTTTTGGTTAATTTCCTTGTCAAAGTGAGAGTGCAGGGGGCAGATTTGGAGCATCAAATACTGCATTAGTTGATTTATTACTGTAAAGTGGAGGTTTACAGCTTTTCCATCTCAGGTCTGTGAAACAGTCTGTACATTGGAAAAGGCTAGATAAGTGGCCCCGACCTGGATCGCCCAGGCCAGCCCGACCTCCTCAGCCCTCGGAAGCTAAGCAGGGCCCGTCCTGGCAAGGACGTGGAAGGGGGACCTCCCAGGGACACCAGGGCCTCCGGGG